GAATAAGAGCCTCCGGAAAAGGGCACTTTTTCCGGAGGATTGGGGCCAGTCTAGACGCTCTTTTCTGGCTTTTTTAAAAGCCGGAAAAAAGCGGCGGACATTTTTATTTAAATGCCGCGGGGGATATTTAAATCCCCCGCGGATTTCCCTACGACGACTAGTGAAATTTACATGCCCCTTCCGGAAAAGGGGCCAGTGTAGACGTAGCCATTATGTCCATAGGTTTGGGCCTAGTCCAGAAAGGTGATGAAGTAACCAAGACCATCAAAAGTATTTTCAGTGAAGGTCTCATGCTTCAAAAATTAGCAGCCAATCAAGGAAAGAATTTTTACACAAGTTTCAGGGGGGTAGCTGTGTTAGTTTGTTTCAGCAAAAACAACGAGGAGTCTGTGGCACCTCAACCCTAACACATTTATTTGGGCATAAACTTTCACAGGCTGGAACCCACTTTGTCAGATGAATGAAATGGAAATCCTGGAAATTTTTAAACAAGCCTTTAAGTAAATTGTTAAAGCAATGTAATGTTCATTATATACTAATAATGAAAGTAAAGTAGGGGACATGTAGTGGTTTAATATAACTTTAAAATCTAAGACGTGAAGAAATTTTACAACCGACAACACCTTTCACTACAGGCAGTCCCCGAGTTACGTGGATCCGACTTATGTCGGATCCGCAGTTACGAAAGGGGTTTGCTGCCCGTCTCCCTGGTCTGCTGAGACGGGGAGCAAAGCGTCTGAGGACGCCGGCGGGGGGACAGCCGCGGCGCTTCTGGGCTGTCCGCTGCCCGCGTGCTCCCCGGCTTTGCTCCCCGTCTCCCTGGTCTGGGGAGACGGGGAGCAAAGCCGTGGAGCACGCGGGCAGCGGACAGTCCAGACGCACCACGGCTGTCCCTCTGCCGGCGTCCTCAGAAGCTTTGCTCCCCGTCTCCCTGGACTGCTGGTCTCCAGCAGACCAGGGAGACAGGGAACAAAGCCGCGGAGGACCCGGGCGGCGGACCGAGATGCATACTACCACATGTAATGTACCACATATGTTGAATGATAGAATATAATAATTTCTTTTAACTAAATCAATGTTTTTTACCTTTAAATCAAAATGAGCAATTTTCCTGGCATGGAGGTAGTTAACACCATCTAAAATCTGCTTAATGAATCTGGTTGCTTCCTCCTCACTCAGGGACTCTTTCTGTGCCAGGAAGTCAAAAAGTTCTCCTCCAGACACTCTGCAAGACATACAGAGGTTAGCTACAGCAGGGTAAGGCACACAAACATCAATATAGTGTAATGGCAAGCAAACAACATGCCACCCACTTGGAACAAGCCCTGTAAAGTGTGAACCAGGAGGTCTGGATTCTAGTACCAGTTCCCACAGAGAAGTCACTCACAACCTCTTGTGTGTCCCAGCTTCTCCTACTGTAAGCGGGGGATAATAATCCCCTATGTCCCACGTGCTGTAGGCGTCATTCTTAACATTTGTAATGCACTTTGAGTATCATCTGGATCAACTCGGCATTTTTGATATATAAACATATGTATGTACAAATACACTATAGTGCTGTTAAAAACAATGACTTTTCTACTGTCCACTTTAACAGTGATGGAGGAAATAAAACTAATATTTGTTGTCCTGATGAAAAATCTTATCTTTTACCATTAGTAAGTAACACACTGCAATGAGATCTGCCAACATAATCGGCTTCCTTTCCCAAGTCATGCATAAAGGACCTATTTGTGCTCTTATGAGAATACTTGTTTGACACATTAGTGACAGAGAAATCTTTATTTTGTGCCAGATCTATATATTTTAGAATTTGTCTGTCTGATCACAGTAAGAGCTAGGACCACCATATTTGGTATATAGCTTCCTCTTATCATAACTGAAAGCAATATAAGGTTTTGGTTGTGCCAGGAAAATGAGATGTGCTTCTCATCAAACCAAAGAGAAAAAAGAGACAGAATCATCAAATCAAGTACAATCCTCAACATAACTGAGTGAATGTTGAAAGAGAATGAACCAAAATGAGCCAGACTATAGGATGAACCTAGACTAGCATTGCTTTTCACTAAACCTTATAGAAAAGAGATAAAAATTAAGTGTAGTGCTCTGTTTTGGCACAGCTAAATCAATGCTGAAGATTTGAAAACTAGAAGAAAATGTTATTGGAAATCAAATTGACTATAGCTCTTTTTTTGTGAAAAGATAGCAAATAATAAGAGTTTATAGTGTTGAAGAAAAATACTTGATTGAATTCCCATTTCAAAAAATTGCTAAAAACATTAAAGAATTTTTTAAAAGAAACTGGAAATAAAGATAACTTCATAAAAAGATCACAATTTTTGCAAAATACAGTCATTTAAATAAAGCATGTACATTTTTCTTTATTTAAAATAAACAAACAAAACAAAACCCAACCGAACAACTTAATTGAGTTAAGGAGCTGAGCAACGCCAGATAAATCTGCTACTTTTAAATAAGCATTTTAAATAAGCAAATTAACTAAGCCTAGCCTTAACCATTTTTACAATACAAGGAATGTGAAAATAATAATAATCTAGTTACTATTATGACCAACAGTAACAAAATATTTACTCCAGACAAGATTTCTGGTGCCATTTTTGTTTCTTTCCAGATTGTTTTCTATAGTTTACCAGGCTGTTATTTATGCTATGATCTTCCTCTTTCATCTCATCACTCGTACACAGAACAAATACTGAGTGTCTTTGGGCTCACCTGATCCTGTCATTACCTTATGCTATGATCTTCCCCTTTCATCTCATCACTTGTACACAGAACAAATACTGAGTGCCTTTGGGCTCACCTGATCCTGTCATTACTGACTCCAGGACTCCTGCTGAGGATTTAGCACTGAGCAAAGATTTCAGAATTCAGCAGTTACTATGGAAAATAAGGCACTGGGATCACTGACAGACAACATGCCACTAAAAGAACGAAGGGCTGGAGGCTTCCGATACTTGAAGCTAAATAGTGCTGGAGTAGCAGACAAGTAGTTTGATTACTATATGATTTTATAGCTCTTCATGTCCATTGCTGAGGGTATTTGTTTAGCAGCAGGGACCTGTCTGCGCTGAGATTCTGATACAGTATTTTCTGTGACATGACTCCCATTCTGCATTCTTGCAGCTGAGTGAGTGAGCTCATGGACACAGCTACAAAAGCTGCTTCAGAAAGTCAAGTGCGCACAAGAACTCTTTGAAAGTGCTGCCAAAACACACAACAGGACTGTGCCATTGCTGTGGGCAATGAAGTGTACTCCACTCTTCCAAAGCCAATGTATTACAAGTGTTAACTGGCTCTGAGCAGGATGATTACTGGTTGTATTTTACAGAATCATAAGCTCTAGGAGGAAGAACATGGACCACTTGGATTGAGGTGGCATCACTCAATTTTGTGCTTTTATGAATAATTGGCTGGCAAACAAAAATAAACTTCACATAACCCCACAGTGTGACGTACCTATTGTCTCATGAGCTTCATGTGCTCCTCCTTCCTACTAGACTCAGTCTCCTCGGAATACAGTCTTTGATCTTCCATCTTCCTTTTAGATGATGTTTAACAAAGACATCCAAAGTGCTGACACCATGCCAGGTAGGTTCTATCCCAGTTTTCCTTCTACACTCAACTTTCAGGAGCAGGGGAATGTTGGCAAGTGGCAGGCACATTTTAGGGCCCCATACTAGATCAGTTTAGAGGTGCTCTGCTGTGAAACCCTCAACTCAAGGCCACTCACCATCGATGACTTGGCCTGGAAAAGTGAGCATGGACAACAGTCCACCTTTGGAGCAGCTACACAGTGGATACTTTACTGAGCATCATCTCCTTACTAGCTCTCACTGCTAGTATTAGCGACTTAGAACAGATATGATATTTGCACCTTTGGCACTCGCAGGAACATCAGTAATATTGCAATCCACTAGCTGAACCTTGGTCCACACTGAAGAAACTGCCAGGCTTGTGAGAATGGGAACCACACATATAATGCTGATTTCATCCCTCTTTTCTGGATTTTCCCTTATCATTATAATTTCCACTGAGCTTGGCTCAGACGGTGAATTTAGGGAAGTAGACTGGGGAGAGGAGACTTGATTGAGAATGTGCAAAGGCAATACAAACATGAAAACCGAATAAAATTTGCGAGGTAGTGAAACTAAAACCCCTCTCAGAGCTAGTTCAATCACAGGCATAGAGCAGCCTTTGAGAAGTTCAGAGTATTTTAAAACAGTAATGACTTGATCCCCAACACCCTACTGGGGTAGGAAAGAATTGTCCTCACATTACAGAGAGTTTAAACAACTTCTCCAGGTAACATGGTCAATTGTATAGGTGTCATTTGAATCCAAGTTACCAGACCTATGTTCTAACCACTTGGTCCATGCTTCACTACAGAAAGAACTGAAGCTTGAACCCAAAGGCTATGTCTACACTACAGAGTTTTTGTGCAAAAACAGTTGTTTTTGCGCAAAAACCCACGGACCGTCCTCACCTCAAGCGCGTTTTTGTGCAAGAAAATCTACAATCGACAGAACAGAGGGCTTTTTGTGGCGTAGGTATACCTCCTTCTACAAGGCACAACTCCTTTTTGTGCAAGAGTTCTTGTGCAGAAAGGTGCGTGTGGACACGCAACAGGGGTTTCTTGCGCAAAAAGAGCTACCGTATATTCCGGCGTACAAGACAACCTCTGATGTTAAAAAACATCCCCCAAAAATCGGGGGTCGTCTTGTACGCCGGGCATACATCCCAGGCGCGCCTGGGATGCCCGGCCGCCGGCTTCCCCCGAGGCTTTCAAAGCTGCTGCGGCTTTGCTCCCGGTGCCTCTGGTCTGCTGGGGACCATCTCCAGCAGACCAGGGACACCGGGAGCAAAGGAGGCGGAGGGGCGCTGGGGTATAAGATGAAACCCTATCTTTTAATTAAAAAGATAGGGGGTCGTCTTATACACCCAGTCGCCCTATACGCCGGAAAATACGGTATCACAAAAAGCACAGGTGGTCTGATGGCCATTCTGTGAATGGCAATCAGAACTTTCTTGCACAAGAGTGTCTATGCAGTGCGGATGCTCTCTTGCACAAAAGCACATCCACACCTTTTGCGGTGTGGATCTCTGCCACAAAAAGCTTCTTGCACAAAAACCCTGCAGTGTCGACAAAGCCAAAGACTACCAAAAAGGGGAAACTATCTTTGTTAGTCGAGTAAGAGAGATATCACCCAGTTCGGAGCTCAAAGAGACACAATGGCAGAAGAACCTCAGGTGTACCTGATTTCCAATCTTTTCTGAAAAGACAGCCACAGGTGAACCCACAGCAAAATGTTCTTGTCACTCTTACTCTTTTATAACGCAACACAAATATTCACTGCACATTACAACATTTGCAGATCTGTGTGATTGCATTTCTTAAACAGGTGCCACGCCCATTGGAGTGTGGGTTTCTTGTCTGTTCTACAAACACTAGCCAAAAACATCTCCAATCTTTCCTTCCACACAGCTGCTTCTCTCTTGCATTGGACATCTGGCATCTTATCCTTCTTGTGAAGGCTGAGACAATTCCAGCAAAAGCTAGTAAAAACAGAGTGATGCTATCCTCTTATCCATTGGAAACAGCTGATCACTTTGTTGTACGTACACAGACTTCAACACCCACTAGAAACACAGACTGTTGTTTCATGACTGACAGCTGCAAGACTGGAGAGGCCAAGAATGGAGGAAAGGGAACAAAGACCTGCAGCCCCGCAGTGATTCCCAGATGCAAGGGCAAGTTGTGGAACTGCCGAGCTGCACGTAAACAGGATTAGCTGCTGACTTAGCAATGTTCTTCCTGTCCCTGTGTCTTCGGAGGAATAGCAGCAGTTACATTTGCTGAAGGAGGCAGCCATGGCTGCAGCTAAGCCAGCAAGTTTTGGGTGGGGATAGGGTTACCTCTCTCCCCAGGTACCGGAGATCCTCTTGCAAATACCCTGTCAATCAGTTGGGGGGATGGGGTGAGATAGGGTAGAATTGGATTGGGGAGCAAAGGGAGCTACTAGCCAGCTTAAGGCTGAGAAGGGGCATTCCTATGGCTGTTCATGACCAGCTGGTGCCTCTCCCTACTGGCAGTAGTTGCCCTGTGCACAGAAGCCCATGCCAGTGCATTATCCCTCACCCCTCTCCAATGGCCTCTCCAGCCCTTTCCCTGCATCCTTTGTCTCCTCCAGCCTTGGTGCCCACACA